ATGGCATGGTCAGTACAGGGTAAGTACCTGATGATAGCTACATGATAGCTACAGGGTTCGGGTGCAGCATGAAGTGAACGAACAGTGTCATGAGGGGCGCCGAGGATGGCAATGTCGTACTTGTGGTCCTTGCGTCTCGGTTGGAAAAGCAATTGACATACGGCAGTTCGCGAATGTCCTGATGCCGGAGTAGTGGTTGCTGTCGGTCAGATCGACATTGTCATTGTCAAGCAGGGGGACCTGAGCCCTGGGTGGATGCGAAGCCCAGCACGAGTGGAGGAGAGGCAAGAGGAGGCTGAGGACTTTCATGTTCACGTTCATGACCCTGGCACACTGACATGAGTGAGTCCCCGTTACATTGGTGCAGTCATAGCAACACACAGTATTCGGGCATCAGATGATGCTCCTCCCATCGATTACGTCAAATCGATGGACTTCACTGGCCCTAACCCAGAACCAGAACATCTGTCGGTGAGGCGGCGCCTCGGTGTCTTCACCTTGCCCGGTCTTCACCTTGCCTCACCTTGCCGTGTGAGTAAGCCAGGTTCAGGGGAAGCTGGGGTCCTTGCTGGCGGGACGCGTCCATCCTTCTTGCCCTTGGTCAACTCTTGTGAAAACCTTCTTCAAATCCTGTCAAGAAACCCTTCGTCACACAAAACCCAATGATTCAGCTTTCGATGCAACGGCCAATTTAAGATCAAGACGAAGAATTCCTGACTCAGTCATTACTGCTGAGGGACTGCCAAGACGCTCGTTCACTGAGTCAGCGGCCTTGCACCCGCCCTGCCCCGGACCTGCGGGTTCTCGTTTGCCGGGCTGGCCCAAGGCTCTTCGGCAAATCGTTTCCATTTTCGCTCCTGGCTCAACACCACCAAGGTGCCCTCGACTCTCACTTTCCTGAGCTCCAGCATCAGCCTGAGCTTCGGCGTCAGGGAATCAGTCATTCCAGCGAACCCCCGGCTCGCGCCACTCCAAACCGCCCCAAACTCGTTGGGCGATTCGCGACCCTAAGCGTATTCAGTCATCGGACTTAAGCCAAGGTGGTGTGGTGCGAGTGAGACCTATGGCACAAGGACGAGGACACGGCTGGCCTCGAGAAACGTTCAACAGTGGCATCGACTTGACATGAATATATGTTTCGACCAAAGCCACTCTGTTAAGTCCGTTCGGCGATAGGACGAGCACCACCTGTTGACAGAAACGGGAATGCCGGTGCTGCTCAGTTCCTTGCGAAGCGAGAGCAGTTATTACCAAGCAAGAGCAGCAACGTGAGCTTGGACGATGACGCCCCCTCCTCTCCTGAAGCTAGAGCATCTCAAGCATGTCCCACGACGAGCCGCTTGCCCGTTCTCGGATTACCGACGACCCATCCTCGATATTCTAATCCTCTTTAACTCCATTTCCCCCTCATTTCCAGATCCGCGGGTGGCTCTATCCCACACCCGGCAGTCCCGCCAAGTGTGATGGTGGTCTACCCTGGCCTCAAGGTACCGTGCTTGGATCATCTTGGCTTTGGCTCCATCCAGATTCCCCCAAACTGACGCGCCTCCTGGTGTTCCACGGTGACCTTTTTATCCTCGTCCTCCTCCCGATTTTCTTTACCTCGTCAAAAGTTGGTTTGCCCTTGTTCACCTCGGTCGATTCTTTCCCACGCATGAACAGAGAGAATATCTACCTCGAACCCCCTTCTCAACCCTCGGCCCAGAATGGCTACCACGCAGACAGCAACTGTCGAGGCCACGGCCAAGGCCCCGGCCAAGGCCCCGGCCAAGACTCGCAAGCGAGCCCCCAAAGCCTGTTTGTCGTGCCGCGCGAGGAAAGTGAGGTGTGATGTTTCTCAACGAGGACGCCCGTGCATGAACTGCTATCTCGACAGCGAGAGTTGTGTTGTCACTGGCCGAGCGTCAAGGTTGTGAGTATATACGCGCCATCTTTTGTCTTGTCTTCTTGCTGGACAAGTCTGGATTTGAGTCCATCTAACTGTGAGAAACAGACGGCCGCCGCCTGAGGATGCAGGGAAAACACAAAGTTCATATCCCCCTCACCAGGGCGATGAGACTCACCAGCATGCAGCGGGCACTGCTGCCACACATCACGTGAATCCACCTGTGGTTCGCGATGATGGTAAGGGCCTTCATGAACACTCCACAGCGTCCCGGGACCTGGCCAGTCGGGAACTCGCCGGTCTCGTTGACGACTCATCACCAGAGGCCATTGGCGAAGCGTCGCAACCAAAGTCGATAGAGAACCATGGCTCATGCCACCACGATCATCAACCTCCCAAAACATCCCATACCAACAATCCTGCGGCGACGAGCACCAAAGGAGCCTTCGCAAACACCTTTTCCGTCTCCAATTCCTTCAACCCATTACCAGCAACACAATGGACAAGTACGTCAGAGCAGCCGCAAAAGTCCACCGTGACCTCCGACGTCACGTACTCCTATTACCCCTTCCTCGCCATTGGCAACATTCATTACATTCCTCCCCAGGATGTCAACTTCCTCGAACTTCAAGGCTGCCTGCGGATGCCAACGAGGGCGATCCTTGATGAGTTTGTCCAGCAGTACTTCCTCCACGTTCACCCCATGCTCCCGCTCCTGAATGAAGGCGACTTTTGGGACATGTACTGCAACGGAGGTTCAAAGGGCTTGCAACAAGAGCGAATCTCGTTACTAGTGTTCCAAGCCATGCTCTTTTCGACGGCTAACGTCAGTCTGTTCTTCAAACCATGTTTCATCAGATGTGCTAATACTTTGTCTAGTTCGTCTCTCGTCAATCGATCAAGGCCCTGGGGTACCCGACCATCCGCGCCGCCCGAGCATCCTTCTACCGACGAGCCAAGCTCCTCTACGACCTCGAAACCGAATCTTCACCCTTTTCCATAGCCCAGGCCGCTTTACTCCTGACGCACTGGTCCGCACCGGCCTCGCACAGCTTCCGAAAACCGAACACACAGTGGCTCGCGATCGCGATCCAGAACGCCAAGACGGCAGAGGCCCATCACTACGACGCCGCGCCCACCCACATTCAGAACACGCTCAAGCGCTTGTGGTGGTGCTGCATCACCCGCGATAGGATCATGAGCCTCGGGATCCGCCGGCCTCTTCATATCACGCGCGCCCATTTCGATTTTGACAAGAACAGCATCCTCGGATACGCCGACCTTTCGGATGAGATTGAGCGCTCGCGCGTCTACAACCCGGGGACGAAACGCTGCCTCGCAGAGATATTGGAGCAACTGGTCGAGCTTTGCGTCGTTCTGACAGATATCCTGATCCTGGTGTTCCCCATCGACGACAGCCCCGGATGGGGCCGCGAACTCAAGACCGAGGAGCAAGACAAGCTTCGCGAGTACAAAATCGACTTGCGCCGGTGGTACAAGAGCGCCACGCTGCGGTTTCCCATGTTTGGCGGTGGCTCAGTCGCCCGCATGAACGCGGGGGGCGGTGGAAAGGAGTTTCAACACGACTCGGTCATTCTGTACACCAACCTAATGTACATGTATTACCAGTAAGTCGAACGGCGCCTTTGGCACCTCTAGAACCCCCACTAACATCCCACCAGTTCGAGCCGTGTCGTTCTCAGTCACCACGAAGTCCTTCACCTCGCCATCACAGCTGCCGCGCCCTCCTTTAGTTCGATCCCCTCCCGCGACCTGGCCATCATTGGCGAGAACCGCCACGAGCTTCAGGACGCAGCTTCGGGCGTCACAGAGTGTCTGAAGGAGCTCATTCACCTCCGACTCGCCCGTTGGCTGCCCATCAGTGCGGTAGCGTGTACGGCCCTGCCACTGGTCCTCCATATCCTCGACGTCAAGCTCTCCTCCTCCGCGCAAAGATCGTCCGGGTCCTCGGCGATTGACCCAAATACGCAGTCCGCTCTGAAGCAGCACCGGCTCAACATTCTAATCGAAGCCATGAAGACGTATCAACCACAATACGACGGCGTGGACCTGGTCTCGGAGACGATCCGCCACATTGTCAACCTTGCGCAAATCGACCCGCCCGCCGACGGCGCAAACAACCAAGCAGACGGCTCGGCCATTTCCGACTGGACCGACATTCTGGCGTCCCAGCCATCCTCCTACCTTCGCCTCGCCCTCACCATGGATCTCGCCCTCTCCAAGGGCCGCCTGCCCGAAGATGGCGACTTTCCCGTCTCCCTGCGCGGCCTCTTCACAGGCGGCTTTAATGCATTGCGCACCCTCATCGAGCAGAAGCGCAGCGAGGCAGCCACCGCCGCCGCCGCTGCTGCTGCAATGGCCCAGAACCACGCCTTCTCCCACGCGAGCGCCCTCCACGCCGTCGACTTTGACGCAGGCACTCTCCGCCCGTCCCTCTTCCATCTTCAGCCCGGCGTTGTGACAGCCGTTCACTCCGACGAGGATACGTCGACGACATCGCCAGCCTCGGCGGGCGATCACTCGGTCGAGAGCACGACGGACGCGACGTCGCCCCACCAGGTCTACGATCTCGCCATGGACATTGACATGATGGGCGGCGGCGGCGGCGATGACATGTCCTCGGACGGCATCGCGGGTCTCGCTGCGGAGGTCATGGCTGCGTTCCCCCTGCACGGCGTGTCGCCCAGTTCCGGGGGCGACTTTGACGGCATGTACTTTGATGGCTCAGAGCAGCGGGGGGAGGCGGCCGAGTGGATGGACGGGGCGTGGGCGGAGATGGCGGCGGGGGAGGAGGAGAGGACGGATCGGGACACGGCGAGGGCATTGCTCGAGGCGCTGAAGCAGGGCGAGGTTGGTGATGTTGTGCTGTAAGGGGGGCGGACTGATCAAGCATGATACGATATGATGGTTTGGAGGTATGATTGGGGTCAGCTTCCTTGCGAGCTTGGAGTAACTGTGCAAGAGCGGCGTCGGTTTAATGTATGATGAGTTGGTCAGAGAATCGAGTCTGAAGCCAAACATGGAAACTGTGCTTTCTTACCCCTTGCGATTTGACTGTATCAGATTCTACCAACGAAATGTATGGTGCGGAATGTGACTTCACCGTATCGAGGTGGAACTATCCCTCTGAGGTTGTGGGCTTGGGGATCAAAAGCGCAATCAGTATGATTCTCATAGATTGAGAACGACCTTTGGATAAATCTGGGTCAAATCGCAAACTCCGCCCTGCACCGTCTGAGCCATCCTGTTGAGAAGCGCGATCGGTTCGCCTGCGAGATGCTTCCAGGCGCTCCTAGACTTGTCGTTGGATTCAAAAGCAACGCCAGACGCGCGCATTTCGCAGATATATCCTCCACGAACATCAAAGCCATCCTAAATCACGTCCGTGATCCAAGGCTCAGCAAAAAAAATCCAACCTCATAGGAAAGCAAACGACACACGTTACCCCCTGAGAACGCATGGAGTAACCCCCTGAGAACCCAATGAGTTACCCCTGAGAACCCATGGAGTAACCCCCTGAGAACCCAATGAGTGACCCCTGAGAACCCATAGTCGTCACTGCAGGTCAATCCCCCACTCGCGCGCATCCTGCCTCTGCCGGGAAATCTTGCACTCGCCGCCGCACGCACACTCGAACCCATACACGGCCCGCAGGCTCGCGGCGTCCTTGCCGTAGTTGATGGTCAGTTCCGTGCCGGCCTGGACCCGGCGGCCCGCCACCGTGAAGACCAGGGCGTCGCGCTCGCGGTCGAAGCCATAGTTGACGTTCATGCGCGGGCGGCACGCGTGGTTGAAGCGCGAGGCGACGAGGAAGAGGCCGTGGCCGGGCGCCTTGGTCGTGCAGGCGAAACTAGCCACGTCAGCCGGGGGGATGCGCCACGTCGTCCGCAGGCCTTTTGCGCCACGGTGGTGAAGAAGGGGGGTTATGCTTACTAGTTGGTCGTGAAGATGGCCTTGAGTCGGGTGTGCAGCGAGTCGTCGTGGGCTATGCGGCTGGGTTTGTGCATGGCGAGGTCGAGAACGAGGCCCTGGTCCGAGGGGCTCAGGTTTGTGAAGTTTCGGATGAGGTCCCTGTCCACGTCGGTGGACCGGACAATGGCGCGTTCCGTGAGGATCATGTCGCCGGGGCTCAGGTCTTGTACGGCAAAGGCGCCCATGCCGCCGAGCGGGGACTTGCGGATTTCGAAAAACTCGTTGCTGAAGAGGGGCTGGCCGGGCTTGATGTTGGCCGTGTGACGGGGGAGGCCGGCGAGGAGAATACCACCGTTCTCTTCTTCGCTTTCCTCTTCATCCGTGTCGCTAGAAGGGTGGTTAAGCAGACTGAGGCCGCTCGACTCACCGTCGAACAAGAGGGGAGCGGCTCGCTTCGAGGTGGCCTCGCCTGGCAAGGCTTTGAGCTGAGGGGCTCGACCACGGCGAATAGTAGCGGTCGCGTGCTATGAACGTTAGTGGCAAGATTATGTCTCCTTCTAGGCAATAACCATGGCTCTTGCGGTACCTGGAAAGTATTCTGGGTGCCTACCATCTCGTTGATCTGGCGGTTCGTGTGTGTCATGCTCGAGAAAGGGTGGAGTAGAGCGTCGATACTGGCCGAGACCAGTTTTGGCTGTGCCGTCTCTCGTTGGACCTTTTGCATGCTATAGAGATCCATGGTAAATGCTTTGCCTTGAGTGATGAGAAGAATAAGAATGGTATATGGTAAAGATTCGGCGGGATCTTCGGCGACTGAAGATGGGCGCTTCTGAAGTGCCAAGTTGGCTTCTGACTTCCTCTCTTGCCGGACTCTATGGAGGGAGACTGCACAAAAGTTGTTCATCAATATGGTATTCGTTATCCAAGGTAATTAAACTGACCAAAGGTACCGAAGAGTTGTCGATCTCTGCGCCTGGCATCTAGATCGACCTCGTTGTCCCCCTGTCATCCGTTCCCTGCCGCCATGTTCCTCCGGTTCACTTTTGTCCTCGTCCAGTCTCAATGACTTTCATGTAAGATATCATGTGAATAAACACGTTTGATATTTGGACGTTTATTGTTTGCTGGAACGGCTGTCATTGAAGACGAGGGAAATGGTGGAAAGAGCTCCTTCCTCCTTATCAACAGGCAGCATATAGGCCACAGCTCGGCTTGCTCCATCTATTGCGGCCTAGAAGCGACTGTAGCCTGCTGCTTCAGCGCTTCACTTGTGTCAAGAGCCAAAATAATCAGTCACTCACTTCCATGTTGAAGCCAGATTTCCCCGGCATATTGCCACCTCCTGCGTCACAGCCAGCCCTCCATTGCCCCTCGGCTGACCGAAGGCCACTTAGTACCTCGGATCGCTGTGACCAGCTGCCGACAAGACCGGTGCGGCCAAGTCCTCGTCGAACATCTGGTTTGGAGCCGCCTGGTCTTCACCCAACCTCTCGCGGCGCGTACTCTTCCGACGCGTAAAGGTATCGTATTGCTCATAAGTCGACTCGCCGTCCATTTCGTGCAAGACCGTTCCCGCAGGTTGATACTGATACGAAGTTCCCGCAAGCCCCGTCGAAGGTTGGTGATAGTACGGGGACGTCGGCACCCCGACGGCAGTCTGAAGAACCGCCGAAGCAGCGGTATGGAAGCTCACAAGACTAGAGTTCACCGACGCCGTTTCCGAAACCAAGTGTCCTGTGCAAACATGAGCCAAGCTCTCCGGGGGCCGTCCGCTTCCTCGATCGACGTACCCTGTCTCGAACCGGCTCGGCTGGTCCTCTTGTGGCTGCCGCTCCTTCGACGCATAAGCGACAAGCCCTGGGATCCCGGTGCGGTGCTGGCCGTGCCGGCGACTGCGGGCAGAGACGCGCTCGCCTGCATGGTTTCGAGCCGCTGCAGCACGGCGGACACCTCGGCCTTCATCACCTGAAGATCGCTCTGCATCTGCCACGTCATGCCCACGTGGGAGGACGTGTTGATGCTGATGAACCGGGTCAGCAACGGCGTCCTTGCTTCTCTCTGAACAAGGTAGGTAGGTAGATGGAGATTGGGGTGCTCACAAGTTGGCGACCGACACGGCAACCGTCAGCGTCAGCTTCCGAGCCGCCAGCTTGGCCCTCAGCTCCTCGAAATCCTTGTCCCGGAACGACAGCCGAAGGCGCCGCCACGCGCTCATCTTGGCATCGACCGAGGCCTCGCCGGATCCGTTCAGGTCCCTGTTCAGCTGCTGGTTGAGCTCGGTGAAGACCCGGATGCAGTCCTCGAGCACGTCGGCCAGCTCGTCGACCGTGCCCGGGTGGAGCACGCCCTGCTTCGTGTCCTCGTGGTCGAGGTAGCCCTGGAGGGTGCCGAGGACGGAGACGAAGCCCTTGAGATCGGCCGACAGCGCCTGCAGCGTCCGCGGCAGCCCGCGGACGGCGTCGATGCGCCGGCTGATGCCGACGCTGAGGTTCGTGGCGAAGATGATGAGGCCGGCTACGCCGCTGATGGCTCCGATGGGTTCGGCCATTCCATTGCGACGCGGCCGTTGTAGTCTGCTGGGCAACGTCCCGCGCAGCGGCTCGAGGGTGGGAGAGACGCAAGCTGGATCGCATGAGCTGAAGCGAAGTCGCGCGGTTTCCACCACATTTCATTCGCCAGAAGCGAAGGATCATGCCGTCGAGCCATCCTCCTACCAATGGTATCGCGGCTCACGCCAAGCGCCCATGCAGCCGACCCTGCATCGGGGCAGTCCGCAGTTGACCAGCCACCCTTTTACTCTCTTGATAGGATGGGCAAGCTGGGCCACCGTCACGAAAGGCTTCAAGGAGGCGCAGACTGCTAACGACGTGTTGTAAATCGGCGCACCGCCGCACATTATCAAGTATCAATCGCTAAACTCCAAGCCTAACGCCGAAAATGCAATGCCCGCCGCATCGTGTCAGATCGCTCTCTGTGTCTTCTTCTGTATTTGACCTTTCTCAAGTCCTTCTCGCCATTTCATTACTTTCACCAGATCTTTCTGTAAGACAACATCCTCTAGCCAGCAGAGGAATTATGAACATCTCGCCGAGTCCAGCGTGACGATGAGACCTGCGGGCGGCAGTCAGTGCTATGCTCGGGACGCAAACACTTGTCAGGCTCGACTGTTTGCTTACAGCATTGGCTATCCCATCCAGAGCCCTTCAAGTCCACAGTGAATGTACTTGTCTCCGCCTCGCGACCGCCCGAGTTGGGGTGTGCCGACTCGACTTAACCGAGCTGAGACACCGATCACCACATCGTGGACACTGTCGCGAACTCAACGTGTTGCCCTTGACCCAGACGCACCGACACGAGCAAACCCACAGCTCGCGGCCCGTCTTCGTCGTGAGCTGGTCGCCCGTCCTGTGAAGATTCGTCTGCACGCCGCACTCGACGCAAAACCGCCGTAGATGCACGCGCCGTGACGGTTTTGCGACGACGAGGCGTCTGTCGTCGTCCCGCGTAAAGTCCCCAGCAGCGTGGATGAGCGAGGACCGGCATGAGCAGAGCCACAGGGCCCGGTCGCCCCTGGCGCCGCCTGCGACGGCGTCATGCTGGACGCACTTGTCGGGCGCGCAGCCCCTGTACGTGCGGCGGCTCCTGGCGATGACGTCCGGGCGCAGGCCAATCTGGTGCATGATGGCCGTGGTCGGCTGCTCGCTGTCAAAGTGCTCGGGACCCCGGACGCGGTGGCAGAGGAAGCAGCCAAAGTTGCCCTGGGACTCGGCCTTGGGGTCCTCGCGGTCGTGGCCCGTGCCGGGAAAGTGCTGAGCGAAGTACCTCTCGGCCTGGAACACGGCGGCCACTTTATCCTCGACGTCGGCTCTCCAGGGCTGGACAGAGTCGACGAAGAACCGGCACACCATGGCCAGGTTGCAGGATGTCGTATAATCAAGGTGCTGAAATAGGCAGTCTCTCACAGGTTCGGGTAGCCCCAGGAAGAAGGTCATCCATCGTGATGGTACGGCCGGGCCCATGTCTGGCTTGTGCGACAGCTGTCCTTTGCTGAGTTCGCGCCGATGCTGCGGAACACGGGACAGCGTTGCCACTGCCATCTTGAAGTTGGGGACGGGCGCTACAGGCTAGGCGCGGGCCGAGTAGAATGGAGGAGCGGGAGCAGTTATGGGTACGCTCTGCTCGTCGGTTTGAGGCTGGTCAGATTCGGAGCAAGACAAAGTAGAGACCCCCGTGTAGTCAAGGGGATGTAGGTATGGGAAGTGTTGTGCAGAAAGAGTGCCAAATGCAATGGGCGGTGCGGATGAAAGGGCAAGAATGGAGTGCTCTGGTCTGTTATATCAACACGCTCGGCCTACCTCATGTCAGGAGCGACAATCATTACAACCCGACATGTTCAGTGAGCATAGTCAGGAGTAAGGAAACAGGGTCGATGCAAGGGGTGCAGTGCAGGTGCGTGGACTGCATATCATCATGACCACGACGCCCCTGTCGGGACGCACGCCGCCAACTGGCACCCAAAATCGTTACAGAGTGCGTGTTGTGCAAGCCTCCTGCAGAAGCCATCGTGTCATTAGCCTCCCTCTCGTGCTGGTGAAGCGGCGCTGCCTGCAAAGTCTGGGGACGGACCGAATCAGGATGTATGATGCACGACATGGCGTCTGAGTCGAAGCGGAGCATCATCTTGCTCGGCGCCGGCTCGCTCATCCAGGCTGGTCCCTGCGTAAGACAATGGACAAATGGAGCTCGATAGCGGACGACACGGGCCTCAGCCGCAGTTCATTGGGTATCGAGCTCTGAAAGTTGGTCGACCAAGGCCTGGTGCAGGAGAGTGATGCCACCCAAGCCACCCTGCGCAAAGTGATCTCGGCGAATGTAAGGTAGCAATAGTAATCGATTGACTTCGCGATGGCGGGCGATCGCTCCGGCACGTCATCCGAGCAAGGCAGGGCACCCAGCGACCGTAGCTCCAGCGGCGCTGGAGGCTTTCAACAAGGACAATTGGTGGGCCATCTTTAGGCTGATCAAGGCCCTGGAGGCAACCGTTGGCGGTTTTCTCCAGGGAGGGCGTTTCGCAGGGTGACAACGGACTTGGCCATCAGGTCTCACGAGGGCGAGTCGTTGGTTCTGGAAAGCTGATAGAAGTGAACGAGGCATCCCTACCAGGATGAAAGAGGGAGGTCACACAAACACGATGGGTCCCCTCATCAAGAGAGGAACACCGTGTCTTGGCCCGTCATCATGTCCCCTGTTCACCAAGGTACTTTGGCAGTTTGCTCATCAGCAGCGAAGCGACGCCCAGGGACGTCCAACGGAATCCGTTCTCGAGGTCGGAGCGTGGAGAGATACAATCTTACGCCGAGCTGCGGCATGGCGAATTGTTTCCTCCTCACAGGCCGGGTGGTTACAAGCCAAGTGGGGATCTACTTGGACCGAGGAGAAAATGGCCGATGCGACGACTCGACGACACGGTGATGCAAGAAAGGAAGAGCCTTGGCAAGAAGGCCAGAGCAACTCGCATCGCATGCCACTCCCGACCCCAACCGTCGTCGCCAGGGGAGCTGCAGTGTTGTTGTCTCAGATCCTCATCTTGCCATTTTCGCGGGTGCTACCCTTCGCAACATGGCTAACGACAGGGCGAGATCGACGGCCAGTGGCGCCATCGAGCTGCAGGTAATTGTCAAATGTGAGCATCGCCAGAATCGCCTCTTGGCCATGGGGCGGCCACGATGGCCAACGGCCAGCTCGGGCCCAGGAGGCCGTCGGGAGCGAGCGGATATCTCGATAGGGGTGAGGCGAGCCTGGACCCCCTGCCGACAGGGCTGTACGTAGATGCCCGAGATTCTCCCCTGTGCGCAGGGCTGTAGAGGCTCGCCATGGCCTGCGAGACGTTCTCTCCTTGCCGGGATCAGACGACGCGACGCGCCCGGGGAAGCAAGCCGATGAACTCTTTCGCCGAACCAACAAGTATACCTAGAATACATTGTGACGAAACCTGCATAAGGATGCAATCACATGATGCCATTTTCTCGCTGATCTTCCGGGTCAACTACGCATCATGACGACCAGGCACGGATCGGGCGGTTGGCGGCCAGGTCCCCGAGCAGACCGAAGCAGTTGACAGTGGCCCGGTGTCACCATGGGCGAGCTGTGAGCGAGGTGAGTATGATGAGCGCGGCCCAGCTTTTGCACGAGAATGTCGGCTGCGTTGACGCGATGGTCGAGTGCTTGAACTTGATTTTACTCAAACCACACCACCAGTTGTGGGATTCAGTGAGCCAAGTGCCCTACCCAGGTGCTTGAACCTGGCTGTCGTGAGTCGTGATCAATGGGTGTATTTCGGCGTAGGAGAAGTCTGCCAGTCCACGTCATCCAACGCATCGTTGCTATGGCTGTGAATATGGTGAGCGAAACGTTTGACGGCCTTTGATGGCATATTTGAGAGGCTCACACTTGACCAGTGTACCTACCCAGATACCTCAGACATTTGATCTGTTATTTCTTGCTGTCCGTCTAGGTAGATTTCCTTCACTATGCCGCCAGCCAGTGCCGGATTCGCTTCAGCACACACCAGTGGCCGGCCCTCTGGCAAATAGCATTACACGCTTCGTGGTGCGTGCGGGGGGCCGTTAGCCCGAACGTGCCACCACTGCCATGACCTATGACAGGCACCCGTCTCCCCCTTTGCACGCCTAATCCGGCAACACAGTTGACCAAGCGAGTCAGTCAGTACGGCGGCCACGATAACACCACGATACCACGAGCCACGGGGCAATAGGGGAGAGCTTGACTAACTGGTGGGCGGCCTGAGTTTCAAGTCCGTCGAGATGATCAGTCATGTATGCGCGGATAAGAGAGCGGTGCCTGGTAAGCTGCCGAGGCTTGGGGAGCCTCCAAGCGTCAGCATTTCGTGGGTTCTGTCGGCCATTGTTCCCAACCTGATTGTTCGCCGCATAGGGGTCAGGGGGGAAAGGAGGGGTAAGATGACGGGTCCTGTCAGCAAGATCAAGAAGGGGCCTGCTACTACTACATCCGCCCTGCCACGCCTCAAGTTCATTGTAGGAACCGATTCTTCTCCTTCATCGTCTTCTCGTCCATCTGACCACTCACCTGGATATTCCTACGGCCAGACAGTATACAATGGCGTCGCAGGCTTCTCCCATTGTCCTCGTGACGGGCGTCAACGGCCATATCGGCTCGACCGCAACAGCCGCCTTCATCGCCGCCGGCTACCAAGTCAGGGGCACCGTTCGGTCTATCGAGAAGCATCAGGCCAGTCTCTCCGAAGCTTTCCAGTCTCACATCGACGCTGGCCTGCTGCAAGTCATTGAGATTCCCGACTTCAACGCCAACGGTGCCTTTGATGACGCCGTAAAGGGCGTCCATGCCATCGCCCACACATCTCCCCCGGGCCTTCGCTTCGACGAATACGTCGGCGGCCCCAAAGCCATCATCGAGCGCGCCAGAAGGAGCACCGAAAATCTCCTCTCCTCCGCCGAGGCCCACGCCGGCGCCACCCTCAAATCGGTCGTTCTCGTCTCGTCCCTCGCCGCCATGATGCGCCTTCAAGACGAGCCGGGCTACCGCTACACCGGTGACGAGTTTTACACCGAATACATTGACCTTTCGTTGCAGGCTGGCGACGAGGCCGGCCTCGGCCTGTTGTACGGGGCGGTCAAGGTCGCCGAGGAGCAGGCGTTCTGGGACCATCTCGGCGACCCCCAGCGCAAGTCGACCTTTACAGGAGCAGTGGTCAGCCCTTCCTTTGTGGCCGGTCCGATCCTCGTGAGGCCTGCGGAGCCGGAGAGCATGACGCCCAGCATGAAGACGGTGTGGTACATCTACGCGGGCGCCGTGTGGCCTGACGAGTTCCCCATGCCGACCTGGGTCGACGTGCGGGACGTCGCGAGAGCGATTGTCTTTGGCGTGCAGAAGCCAGAGAAGGCCAAGGGGCGGAGGTTCCTGCTGGCCGCCTACCGGGTCGGGCGTCAGGCTTTTGCGGACGTTCTGCGGGAGAAAATCCCTGAGCGGAAGGGTGTCATCCGGGAGGGAACGCCGGGAGAGGGATACCCTGCCGACTTTGTGACGTGGGGGCCCGAGGAGGTGGGCATGGATGGCAGCCGGTGGACTGAGCTCAGTGGACAGGAATATCTTCCGTTTGAGGAGTGCGCTGTGGGCACGGCGAAGTCTTTCGACCCGTACCTTGCGGAGGGCAAGGAGAAGGGGTACAAGGAGGAAGTGCCGGTACTTTTTCAGTGATTGTACTGGGTGCTATAATGGGTGCAGATAACGGCAGTGGTAGTCATGGAGGGACCTAGCTGCCCCGTTACACGTCAGATTCCCGAAGTCCAGGACCTACCTATCTGCAGATGATGTCCCGATTCGAAAGATGCAACGACCACATTCCGGGCGTTTTCAAATACAATAATCGGGGTGCTGTAGAGAAATGTGGGTTTGAGGAAGTCAGTTTTGCTTTTCAATTGTCGTCCAGGAAAGTTGACGCATATCTGGCTTGATTGATGGTAGTAGTCGAGTCTGGGCTCTCCTGCCCTGACTGCAACACACACAGGGCCCAGGGCAGGTGCCCACGATGGCAGTCGCCTGCTTCCTTCTCCGGGAGCTGCGAGACCACAGCTCCGATCCTGGGAAGGTACCTACCTTAGGTAGGTACCTTCGGTAGAAACTATTAGGATTCATTCAGTATTTCTTCAACCCCACAAGTCGTACATCCTTCCATCTCACGTCATCATGGCCCTTTCCCTCCCCAAAGGCAAGGCACATAGATAAGTACTTCAGGGCTACGAAAGCTTTCAGAGCAAATCAAGGAGCCATCTCATCTCACATTCCAAAACCGCAGACATGTTCAACGACATCTCACTCCGACACATCCCGGCGCTCTACGCAACCTGTGCCATGGGTCTCGGCGGCGCCTGGTCCCTCGCCAACCCGCGCACCAGCCTCATCCACTTCGGCTTCCCCGCCCGCATCGCCGACCGCCCCGAGATGTGGCCCGTCGCCCGTGTCGGCCACGCCCGCAACGTGAGCCTCGGCCTCATCATGGCGCTCTTCTACGCGCGTGGCCAGTACGACGTTGTCGACACCATCATGGGGGTCATGGCCGGCTCACTGGCTCTTGTCGACGCTTGTGTCGTGTGGAACGAGGGCTTCCATGGGTGGGCCGTCTTTCGGTTCGTGGGTGCCGGCACCTTTTCTGCTCTGGGGTTTGCCGGCTTGACGCAGGGTCCTGTCCGCTAGGAAATAGGGGATGGACAAGTTTCGATGGCATACAATGTCCATGCTCACTCAAACAAGCCACTCTTTTTTCGTTCCATCCCTCTTGTTTGTCGTGTTGCAGAGCGCAGCCATTCCAGACCCCGGCTCAAAGGGCAGATCCTGTGGCTGTCCACCCGGCTATTGTTCAAAGGATCGACAAGTGGACAACCGGGATGGAGGCTCTCGAAGCCCATTCATCGCAGGACGACGCAGGATGCACTGCCACGCCGAAGTTCAAGCACTGCGAGCCAGTGCATCGCTGGTGCCAGGGGTCTTCCCTCACGGCGGCCTGCGGTGGGGTGGTTTCATCCCCGAAGGGCGGATAGAGCGGCGCTTACGACGTCATTTCTATATAGGCCCTTTCCAGCCCCTGGAATTCGCCCCATGGCTCCAGAGCCCGATCCCGTAGATCCCTCTTTCTGTTGTCTCAAAGGGAAAGGCAGTGAAAGAAACCGAGGACCAGAGGGTTGGGCCCGTTTTGCTCTTCTTCATATTGGGACGCGATCCCGCCAACGTTTTGGCCAGCGCGAAACGGCCAGCACGCCCTTCCCTTCGCACAACGATGGCACCACAATGCAGTAACACGACGATAGAGGGCCCCGTCCCCAGCGACGCGGGTGTCGCGGGCACAGGTGTAAGTCAACCCGTCGCATCAAGGCAACGCTGAATGCGACTGACAAGCGACACTTAGGTTCTTCTGTCGTTCTTCTTCACAGCTATCCTTGCATTGGGCCTCAGCCTCACCATCATTCTCTCCGAGTTCAGAAACAAGACGTCGAGCATTCGACGGCGCCTTCTCAGCAGTTACTCCGATCAGCAGATCCTGCAGGGCATCGGCATCCATGCAGTCGGCCTCGCCAAGCGGGACACGATGCTGCCCTACCACTTCTTCATCATCTGGTGCCTTGGTCTTCTCTCGCAGGCCGTTCACAATGCGACGCTGCTGTCCCTGGTCCACGACTTTCGCCGCGACTGGGTCCTGCGCTGGCTGCGACAGCTTCTCATGTTCGTCAATCTCGGCCTCTCCGTCGTCTACGGCGTGTTCATCCTGCGCGCCGTCGAGACAGGCCTCGCCGACGACCCCATCCCGATCTCGTGCGTGTGGGAGACGAACAGCGGCAACGGCTCGTCGAACCGCAGCGGCCTCAGCTATTTTGGCACCATTGCCGTCATGGCCGCTAACGTCCTCGTATTCGCCCTAGCGAGCTGGTACCTGCATTGGCGGATCCAGCGCTTCGCCAAAATGGTCAAGCTTATGGGCACGCTGCTCATGGGCGCCCTGGCCGCCGGCGCCATCGTCCGGTGCGTGCTGGCGTCCGACGCTCTCGGCCACGGGCCGAGCTTTGAGCTGGCGCCCGGTGAGGAGGCCTGGAGCTTCGGTCAGGTGCTCTCCGTCCTCGTGCTGCTCTTCCCTCTGGTGTCCATGGTTGAGATCCTTCGGGGTGAGCTGAGGGTGGCGCCGTGCGATCTGTCTGATGGCCAGGCATGTGCTCCCAGCGACATGGAGATGAACAAGTTTCAGCCGAACCCGTTCTGGGGCTCACAAACGCATCTGGTCAGGAAGTGAGGGGAGGAGTCAGAGCAGGACAGGTATGGAAAGTGGGTGAGGGAAGCGATGTAGGATATAAATGATACCCAATGTAGTCGGCCTTTATTGTAGGCATCAATCAATCATTGATTCCAATCCATTCGTACGACGCGTGTGAAGGAGACCGATCCTGGTGGACGACTCGTGCTCGACCTCGTCAGGGTGAAGCCATGACCCCTAGCGCGGTCTGGCCACGGAACCCCTTGCCTCATTGATGTGGCGCTTCTACTGTGCTGCTGGCTACCTACCTGGTACAGCAGCAGGTAGTGACCAGTCTCTGGAATGAAGCCTAACGGATGCACATTTCTGGCCTCCCAGCTCACCTTTGCCCTCCCAAGCCCTCCCCCCCCCTTCAAGGGAGCAACGACGAAGGCGGCAGCCAGAGCAACGTGAGCTGTCCCGCCACTCCCGTCCCTGGGTCAGCAGTGGCCAAATGTGCAGCCAATAAGCTGCCCATCGTCTCACCTCTCTGATGATGAACGCACATCGCCCCTGTCCACGTCAAACATTCGTGCATCTCGCGCCTCCCAGTACTGGGCACGGCTGCCGACAGGTTGATGTCCGAACCAAACGACGCCAGGGACAACTATTGAAGCCACTGGTATGGCAAACCTCTTGGCCCATACATGGAAAAATCAAATGTGCCTCCCGTCTGCCGCCATTCCTGCCACGCGGGCTACGGGGCTCTAGTGAGAGCAAGAGAGAGAACCAGAAAGCTCCCACGTCCGCCCCACTCGCCAAGGTGCAACACCCAGATGTTGGCAGGTTCGCTTCGTGAGGGACGGGACCCCTTCCTCAGCATTCCAGTGCCTCTCCCCCCCTGGAGCACATGTTACGATCACCAGTCGTTCCTTTCCTCGCACGTCTCTCGCAGCGAGTCGACCCCCCCGCCGACCATGTTCATACATTGGTCTTCCCTCGGCAAGGCGAGTGCCGTTTGAGGTGTGGACTCTGTGGCCGCGACACGTTCCTTGGGCAGGGTCCCCACCAAGTAAGTCCTTGGTCCTTGGGGGAAGGGGAAGGGGGCATGGGAAGGGTTGACGGCCTCTGCCTTCCCGTCGAGGAGAGATATGTGCCACCACCTCCTGCTGTCAAGGAATTGATTAGATGCGATCGTCCGTCGTCGCCCACTTCATCCCTTTGACTGTCGTCTGTCTTTTTCCCTCTTCCTGTCCGACCTTTACTTGGCCGTCCATCCTCCACATACACACACGCACACAGACCGACCTGCCCACTGCAACAGTCGACCTGGTCGACAACATCGACCGCTCTCTCATGCTCCGTTGAGATTTTTTCACATTCTTTGATTTACTTCGTGCGATCTTCAGGACGCAGCCTCTTTTCCTTGATACCAGACAACGAACCGTTCCTTTTCGCCGCGGATCCCCGGTTTTGAAAGGCATCGCCGGCCAAGATGAAGCTCAAGTCGCAAAGCCAGAGCGAGGTGCGAGCCGTCTGCGTTTTCGCCGTTGTCACCTGCATCTTCATGATCTATACATTCACACGCCGGCCAATCGACGGCATCCCGACCAAGGCGTCCTGGGGTTGGAAAACGTGAGTCTCAAGGGCCCTCGTCTTTGCGTTTGGCCATTCTGGTGCTTGATTCCCGACATGTCTTTCTAACTCGAAGCAGCGCCGACCCGTTTCCCGACCCCTCCCTCCCACGCCTCTCCTTCCGCGATATTGCCCTGCAATACGGCTCCCACAAGGCCACGACGACAAAGCACCATTTTATGTACGAGAAGTATCTTCCCGCCATCCGAGACCGCCACGTCAAGGTTCTCGAAATCGGACTCGGCTGCGAGACGTTTCACTCCGTCCCGGACAACTCGCCCTACCCTCTCGCCAAGGTGGGCGCCAGCTACCGCACCTTTACCTCCTACTTTCCCCATCTCTCTCTCACCTATCTCGAGATCGACGAGACGTGCGCAAAGGAGTTTGCCACGTACAACGACAAGGCCGCCATCTTCATTGGTGACCAGGGCGACCAGGCCTTCCTCGACAAGTTCGTCGAGCAAGCCACTGTCCACGGCCTCTTTGACATTGTCATTGACGACGGCGCCGGCACCGACGACATACAAGAGCGTACCCTGCGCGACCTCTGGCGTATCGTCAGCCCCGGCGGCGTCTACTTTGTCGAGGGCGTCCGTCGCAAGTCTGACCGCACGCACCGCTCTGAGGGACAGCGACCGTTTGGCGACTTTGTCGACGAGCTGCTCTGGGAAGACGCCATGTTGCCGGAGGGTGAGATTAGGAGCATCGATTGCATGGAGGGTATTTGTGCCTTCTTCAAAAAGGACGCTGGCATGATTTAGCTCGGAGGGTGGTTGGTGTTTGCTCTTGTTCTTTTTTTTGCCACATCTTTGCGAAAGACGGAGTTTGGAGTCGTTTTTTCTTCATGGTCTAGTGGAGGCCTCATATATGAACTGTCATTCATACCTAGATATCAGGGCAGAGTGGTGTCACGAGAGAACTCTGATACATTACTCAGAGTGCCTGCCATGACGGTGAACTTTACCAGGTGCTTGATCATGAGATCTTTTGCTTAGCGAAATCTAGTCGCTTCGTGTTGAGATGGGAAGCCCGGTGTCTTGCATGGGTATCTTTCACCTCTGAACATGATGAAATGTATTTCAATTGCAGAATCCGACGCCTTTCGCTTCTCTCATGATCGCCTCCAACACCAGAACGCCTGATTCATAACACAAAGGACGCATACGCCATGAAGACACACATGTTCTACCCGTCGGGTTCCATCCGTCCCTCTCAGTCCACGTTGCCGAAGATAATGTTCCGCTTGTCGTGCGCGTTGATCAGCGTGTATTCGGCCAGGATGGGGTCCTTGCTACCAGCGAGATTCATCGTGACGGCCAGCAGGTTCGGCTCAGTCCAGGTCGGGCGCAGGCCGCGGGCTTCGAGACGTTCCCACCAGTCCAGGTAGTTCTTCGAGGTGAGGCCATTGAAGAAGTGAATCTCAACCATCAGCTGGCCGATGGGCAGCTCGAGTCCCTGGGCCAGGGGAAAGTCGTCGCTGAGGCCGTCCATGGCCTCAAATTCGGCGAACTCAATGTCCATCTTCAGGATATCACTTGGGGTATGGATTAGCAGAGTTCGGGCTAACCTCGCCACTTGAGGACAGGGTTTCACTCACATGTACTCGTGATTGTTCATCTTCATGAGCTCCGCAATGCTGTAGAACGGCGGGTTCTTCGTCTTATCCGTCTTGCCCGCAATGCCAGCTTGGAGGAAGTGGGCGCGATCGCGATTCCAGGTCTCAAGCTGCTCGCCAAAGTCGACAACCGAGAAGTCGTATGCCCAGACGGTGCAGTTTGTTCGGCTCAGCATTTCGTTCTCTGCGCAGATGTATCAGCATTCAGTCGAGCCGGAGGACTTTTTCGATCCACAATCACCCACCAAAGCTCGACTCGTCCCGGACACCGAAGGAATAAATGATACACTGCCTGTCGGCCGGAAAGTCGACATATCTTGACATGCCGCACACCCATTTGCCGCCATCGCCCATGCGGCCGACACGCTCGATCTCGTGGGGGCAGCCGTACGATGCCGGCGTAAAGTCCCAGATGGTGTAAGGGTGGATGTGATACGACGCCGAGTCGGTCGTAGGGAAGCTGTTGCGTGGGGAATCCCCGTTCAGCATTGCTCGTCAGAAGGAAGCTAACATGTAACAGAACTTACAGAGGCATCTTAGAGACGTCGCCATAATCGGCAACGATCATG